CAGTTAAAGGAAAATATCTCAGTCACAAGAGATTCTGGATAGCAATGGAAGAAAGATTTTTAATCACAAAGACACATTCTGGCGGTGCCTATCATTATTTTCTAGGTCCAGTAGTACAAACCTGAACATCTTGCGTTGGTCTGTACACCTTTGATGCATCTCTCTTGAATTCTAGTCTGGAGTGGGAATGGGCGAGTAGCTGGGTTCATTGCTTGGCAACCATTTAACACTTAGGAAATGTTGATTGGCCCCAAAGTAATATGTGTCCACATCTAATTATTTATTCAAAGTAAACTTCTATTCATGAGTCATCATTTTGGTTCTGCATCTCTAACAGTGAACACGGTAGACATTAACCTCTGACATCCCAAAGCTCACATTCCCATGGATCTGAAATCTTAAATTTTCTGAAGCGCTCAGTTCCCATGTGCTGGACCCCAGGGTCCACGAAGCCTTTTAGGTTTAAAGCTTGTTTCCATGTCGTCCCCAGGTATAAACAGAACCCTCTGGGTTATGAAGGTATCCATGGCAGGTTTTCTTGTTTGTTTCCACCTTAATAACTGCCGCTCCTTGAGCTACTGTGGATGAGCTGATCACGATCCGGACTAACTGATATCAGAGCCCACAGATTTTACACTATTTAACAACTCCCGGAATGGTAATGTCCCTATCTTTAGCACTGGGTCTTAGGGAGGTAAATACTGAGAGTTTTAGTGGAAGCCATTTAGTTGACTTATTTATTTTCTAAAATATCTGTACCTCTTTGGCTTCCTCAGCTCCACGGTCATCTCTATGACTGTAATAACTCATTGCTAGTTTAGGCTGAGCACTTCCATCAGTAGGTAAACTTCCATATTTTCTGTGGAGAACCTGTTTTAGTCATTTCCATAATGGCAAAGAGTGTTTACCCAGAACTTGACATGTGTCAGGTGATGGCTCATGGAAGCACTTCATACAGGTGGTCCTGTTTCATCTTTAAAATGACTTGGTGTGATGGTGGCTTGGATCATCCACCTTTTCTGGACGCATAAAATAAGAAAAGTTAAAAATAAGAACATTTAGATGACTCGTCCAAGGTCAGCTAGCAAGAAGTTAGTAGAAAGATGTGAACTCGGGCAAGCCTAGATGCAGAGCCCCTGCTCTCTGTCTCTGTGTTGCCCTGATTGTAGCAAACCTTCCAAGTCAAATATGCTCTGGGCACCAATAATACCAAGTCCCTGCATGTGTGAGCCTGTGGGTCAGGGGAAATTTATAATGATGATTTGGAACACTGCGTATGTCAGCAAATCCACTCTTTAAATTTATATTTCCCTCCAGGTGAATATTAATAACTATGAAATCATTTGGGGGATTTCTATTGCAATTATTTTTTGTGCTCATTGTTCTGTCTCTGAATAACTTCTGAATGTCACTATAGACTCCTACACTATGGAGAAGAAAAGCAGGTTGATATTTACCCATGAGGCTTTCCCTCTGTTGCAAAGGATTTGTGCAAAGCATAGGAAGCAATACCACTTGGAGATTGGATAATGAAAGTGGAGTGTGGTCCAGAAGGAAGGTGAGCCTGTCTATGGATAAGGCTCTCAGCTTAGAGGCAATTTCAGGTTTATTGCATTGCCAAGGTGTCTGGAATTTGTGGACATAGTAGACAAGTGAAGGGGAATATGCGGATAAGGAGTTCTTGGAATCTGCACAGGGGACCTCTTGGGTCATTGGTTAGTGTGCATATGAGTTCCACAAAGTTGGACAAAAACACTTCCAGAAAAAAATAAAGTGATACTGAGAAGTAAAAGGCTACTGGTCCTTAAATGATCATTGTGTGTGAACTATTGAAATTCCACTAGCCAAAGCATTGAAAACATTTAAGTCAATATTCTCATACACTAGCAATAAACCATTTAAAGTAAAATCCCAAACCTTGCAATACCTGGGACAAATGGATGGAAATAGGTATATGAAATACATAACAAAAATTATAAACACTGACTTACTACATTTATTTGAAACTTTTTAAAAAGTATAAAATAAATCAATTACAAGTAGTTAATTACAAGTGGTTGCCTAGGGTTCTGGTGCAATTTGTATCATTTGTCAAAAATCAGAAAGATGATTAAAATGGGTGACTTTGATGTTATGAAATATCTAAATAAAACTAAACAAAAAATTAAGATTAAAAATATTCCTTTCTTTTAAACCTCAGTGCCTTGAGGCATTTCCCCAGACTCCACAGTTTAGAGTCTGCTGGCTTCCATCTGCAGAGCTGTACCCTTCGATGATTCTCTAACCCTCCCATCTCCCTATTCCCTTTACTTCCTGCCTACAACTGTCCATTGTGAGCAAAGTCTCTGCCCTGGTCCAAAATGTGCTGTAGCTTTAAATAGCTTGCTAGCCAGTGATGATGGGGAGGTGTGTTTATATGGTGATGTTCTCTGGCTGTGCATCTCAAAGGCTCCTGCCAGGCACAATGGGGCCATATGGCTTCTATGGCATCACACTGCTTGCCTTCTCTGGCTGCTGCATCTGGTTCTCTTGAATTGCTGTTATTTTTCAGGCCTTAGTGTTAATGTTTCTGTTCCTCTAAGTAGGTCTTAGCTCTTCCCCACATCTTTTAGTTATTTTGTTTTAGAACAATCACATCTGGTCCCTGATTTCTAATACTGTTACTACATGAAGACTGTAAATCTATGTCCATACTGCAAATCTTCCTCTCCTGGGATGATGTTTGCATTACTAAGTATCATGGTGGAGTGGAATAAACCACGTTTTCACAAGGTTATAATATTCATACTCTTCCATACCAATGTGTAAAAAATGATAGAAACATCCATCCATCAACTTCTCATCATGATGAGGAAACACCAGACAGAACTGACATGAAGCAAGAGGTTTGTCTTGGCCTATACTGTGGAATTGATGGTACAAGATCAGGTGGCCCTATTGTTTTGGGTTTTTGGCAAAGGACCCAACATCACAGGGTCTTGTAGAACAAAACCATTTATATCATAAGCCAAGAAGGAGGGGGAGAGGATGGGGTATTTCCCACAATCTACTTCAAGGCCGTATCGTCCAAGACCTTAGGGACTTCCTGTCCGTTCCATATCGTTAGCACTTCATGCAGCTTCCGGGTTCTTCCCCCTCCAGCACTGCATGAGGTCACATCATGCTTTCTCCCACAGACTATGGATTCGGCTTCTAAAAGTCCGTAGCTGGGCTTCGTTCATCCACTTCTCTTTCTGTGGACAAATATATTTCTAAATTGCAAATTTGATTTTCCATCAACTCTGTTTTTGCATCCTCTCTACAGATGCCTGTTGACAACAGAATCAAAATTAATTTGCTTGGAGCTGGAGAGATGGCTCAATGGTTAAGAGTACTTGTGGTTCTTGTAGACGACCCAGGTTCAATTCTCAGCACCCATATGCTGGTTCACAACCATCCATCATTCCAGTTCCAGGGATTCCAACACCTTCTTCTGACCTCTTTGGTCGCCAACTATACACTTAGTACACAAAAATACACAAAGTCCAAAACATATAAAATAAGACAAATAAATCTAATAAAATGTTTAATGTACCCATCTCCTTACATGGCTTAGGACACTGTCTTAATTAGGGTTCCCATTGTTGCAATGAAACATCATGGACAAAAATCAAGGTGAGAGGATGGCATTTGTTTGGCTTGCACTTCCATATCACTGTTCATCATCAAAAGAAGTAAAGACAGGAACTCAAGCACGGCAAGAACCTGGAGGCAGGAGCTGATGCAGAGACCACTGGGAAGTGCAGCTTACTAGCTTGTTCAGCCTGCTTTCTTACAGAACTCAGGATCACCAGTGAGGCATGAGCCCACCCACAATGGGCTGGGCCCTTCCCCCATTGATCACTAATTGAAAAAATGCCTTACAGCTGGATCTCATGGAGGCATTTCCTCAACTGAGGCTCATTTTTTTCTTATGACTCTAACTTGTGTTAAGTTGACACAAAACCAGCCAGTACAGATACCATTTATGCATTCTATCCCCATCTACCCAACCTCATCACTCCCAATCTAAGACTTATTTTCAGTTCTTAAATGTAATATTCATTGTTCCTACCCACATACCACCAGTTCAATGATCAGGTCTCCCCTCCCCTGCCTTGAGCTGTCATGACACAGAACAAGGGTTTCATCAGCCTTTACCACTGGACCCTGGATCTTGACAAGTGATTTAAATCTGAGACATTCAATGAATATTTGTTACGAGTGAGTGTTAGAGGAAATGGCAGCCTAATCGCACTCCAGCATTCATATGCTTCCCATTTATTATCTTCAGGCAAGTTTAGCTGTTCTTCTCAGGCAAGCTGAATCAGATTTTTATAATTATGACTATTCTCTGGGTTTGTGCTGTTGCTTGATTTTAGACAATATGTCACTGTATTTCCCAGGCTAGTTCCCAGACTAATTCCCCTGTCTTAGTCTCCAAAGTCGCTGGGATTGTAGGACTGTACCATCATGCCTGGGTTGTAGTTGCCATTAAAAACAGTTATGATTAAAAAAAAAAAAAAAACTTGTGTAAGCATGTATTTACCTACAAAGTTACCTTGATCATAACATGTTTTTGTGTCTTAATTGCTGCATTTTAAATAAATTTATTTATTTATTTTATGTCCAGGCCACAAGCAATTTCTCCTTCCTTCTCTCTTCCCAGTCCCTCTACCCATCCCTTCTCTGTTCCAATCCCTGGCCCATCAATAAAACATGGCATATCAACTTGCAGTAAGACTAAGCACCTCCCCAATGTATTAAGCCTGGGCACGGCCACCCAGTATGAGGAGTAGGGTCCTAAAAGCCAGGAAAAGAGTCAGAAACAGCCCCTGTTCCATTGTTAGGTGTCTCATAAGAGGACCAAGCTACACAACTGTAACATATACTCAGAGTGCCTAGGTCAGTCCCATGCAGGCTCTCTGGTTGTCTGTTCAGTCTCTATGAGCCCGAGTTAGTTGATTCTGTGCGTTTTCTTGTGTCCTTGACCCCTCTGGCTCCTACAATCCTTTTCCCCCTCTTCTGCAGGATTCCCCAAATTCCACCTAATATATGGCTGTAGATCTGCATTTGTTTCCATCAGTTGCTGGATGAAGCCTCTCTGACGACAATTGAGTCAGACGGGCACCAGGGTGGTCATAGAAGGCAGTTCACAGTTCACGCTACTTCTTCGTTATTGCCAGGTGTCTAGGCTGGGGACATCCTTGTAGATTCCTGGGAGATTCCTTTGTGCCAGGTTTTTACCTGACCCTGAAATGCATCCCCCATTCCAGTAATCTCTTTCAGTACTTTCCCCACCTTTTCCCTCCCGAAACCTGATAGCTCCTGTTCCCATCCCCAACTGCCCCCAGTCCGCTCAAGAAATCTCTTCTATTTCTCCTTCCCAGGGAGATTTGGGTGCCACCCCCCATGAACCCTCCTTGAAAACCACATTTTTACATGTATGTAAACAATCAAATTACTGTAATGTCTTTTAAGTTCAGCGTGAAGGAGTCTTTTGGTATTTCTTATAGGACAGGTCAACTATGAAAGATTGTCCTTTCTTCAAAAAAATCTAAGGGTTTTGTAATTCCTCCTCCATTTCTAAAGGATGGCTGTGCTGGACATAGGGATTCTATGTGCACAGTTTTATCTTCCAGCATTTTGAACGTCATACACTGCCTACACAGTGAACTGTTCATCAGTTTATACTAGCCTTTCTATGTGAAATCACTTTTCATTAGGGGTGACTCTCTAAACTCTGTCTTGATGACTGGATTACACTGTGTCTAGGTACTCACCTTTTCCGTTTCCTCTGTGCATTCTGTTGATATTCTTAAATGGACAAGTCTGTGTTTGTCATCAAATTCCAGGATGTGTCGGCTCCTTTCTCAAGTCTTATCCTTTACAAACTTAGTGGTATTTCACAGCCTCTTGGAGGCTCTTTCCTTTGTTTTCATGTCTGTTATACAAACTGGATAAATATCAACAACTCCCCCACTGTAATGGGAATCTTATTATAGATCTTATTATATTGAAATTATACTTCAATGTACTTGACTTCCTAATCAAACAAAATACTAATTATTTTATCTTATATTACTCAACATAATACTATTATATTACTATATAATACATGTATACATATATATATACATTTTCTTTTGTGATGATTTAAAAATTCTTAATTAGAATAATATATCAGGCTTTTAATGACAAATTTACTTACAATCACCAGGCTTGAAATAGAATGAAATGCTATTTCCATGAAGCAAACAACATTATAATCACAGAAGGTGAAACATTCTTTTGTTTATTTTTCTTTCTTTCTTTTCTTTTTTGTTTTTGTTTTTTGAGGCAGTGTTTCTCTGTATTGCTTTGGAGCCTGTCCTGTAGACCAGGCTGGCTTCGAACTCACAGAGATCCTCCTGCCTCTGCCTCTGGAATGCTGGGATTAAAGGTGTGTGCCACCAACGCCGGTTCTTTTGTTTATTTTTGCTTCCACTTTTCATAACAGTTCTAGCCCAGCCCCCCTGAAATCTGCTGGCTATCAGAGCGCTGAGACACAGCCCACTACCATAGCATCTCAGTTTGAAAGCCATAATTTGGATATCTGGAAAACTTGGCCCATTAGTCCACATTTGATAATGTAATTCCCAGAATCGCATTTGGTAACTTCTCATGATCTTGTGAAAAGTACTTACTCTGTATCTAGAACGGAAACATTTGCATCACTCAGTTACTCTCACCTCAACAGAGAAGCTAGCAGCATCAGATTCTCAACTGTCCAGTGACGTTTGTTTTTCGTCTTCGTATTTGAAGGATGTGTCGACTTGCAAAGGAAATGTCCCCATCATTCAAACGGACATTACTAAGTTAATTTTGAATGGACAAATAATGAAATTATATGTGATATGTATTTAAAGAATGCCACCACCATAGGTTAAGTCAATGTATATTTTCCCATGATGTTTCTCCTATTAATTCATATTGGAAACGAAGTCTTATAATAAAACATTACCTGAGAGGCATGATACAAGCTAGTGACACAAAATAAATCTAAGATCTACTACATGAAGTAAGAACATCAAAAACATTTTTTCATTATGTGTGATCCATTTCATGGCACAAAAGCTGGGTACCTAATTTTACAAACTTATCTTCATACATTTGAGTTGGGACTCATAATTTTCCTCATGATGAACAGCTATTAACTCCGATTCAATATAACTATTGATATGAGAGACTAGGACTTTTTTCATACTCAACATAAGATGTATTTTCTATATCTGGACTGGACTTGCAGATTTTTGCATTAGAATTTAGATAACCATATTGTAGCATTAGCTAAAATGTGCTGATCACTTCTGCTATATCCAAGTTAGATTAGGCTAAGCCATTTGCATGTGTTTCCTGGCATTCTTTTACTGAACATCAGCCAAACAGCTGCTTTCACTAACTCCATGTTAGAGATGAGGAACTGTTGCAAAAGGCTCTGTAACCTGCAGGAGTCTCAGATGTAGGACTAGAATACGTTCAGCTCCATGACAAACTGTGATGAGGCTCAGGACACTTCCACTGACAACCTGTGGTATTATGTTTGACACTCTCATGATTAGAGTCCAGTCCTCATTTCTTTTGTTAGGGAAGTATGAGTCAATTCTACTCTTCCACGATAGTTCTCACCTACAAAAGCTGCCGGGAACAGTGATGCCTAGTCTGGATGTCCACTCTCTCATGGTCTTACATGCTGGCATTGTGACTAGGAAGTAGAGCTTGCCAGGAGGCATGGTAGTGCATGCCTATAATTTCATACTAGCACTTGGGAGATTGAGGCAGGGAGATAATGAGTTCAAGGCTAAAAAGAGTTACACAGCAATTTCCAGGCTAGCTGTGTTCCAGGCTCTCCCTAGACTCAGATACTAGACTTTACTGACTACTTTTGATGCTGAAAATGTCAAGGAACCTCCCTAGAGCAAGCAATTCTGGCTTACAATATAAGGGGACACATTCTGTCATGTTGGGGTAGGCATGACAGCTGGTCACACTGCATCAGCAGGAGGGAAATAGAGAATGAGGAGAAATTAGACCAAGCTATAAACCCTAGTAAATCACTTCCTCCAGACAGGGTCCATCTGCTAGAGGTTCTGAAAGCTTCCCCCAAAAGAACCACCAGCAGGGAAAGAAGTGTTCACACACAGCAGCTATGGGGTCATTTCACATGCAAAATACAACAGATGCTATTGTGAATTTACCATGGAACTTGGAGTTCAAAGGTCAAGTTTAACCACAAAACTTACTGATTTTAGTTAATACACTACATAGAGTGATTTGCCAAACTTTTGTGGGATTTACTTTCCCCATTTGTTACTTTGGAGATTGAAGTCAATCCAAAGTTCCTTCTCAGTGTTTATACTTTCTTACTTAATTCCAGTTCTTCTCAATAAACAGGAAATATCATTTTAATACAAACATAGGTTGTCTTATACTTGAAAACTGTGATACCATCTAAATAAAAATTCCTAGTGTTCACCCAATATATAAAAATAAGGCCAAATAGAAGAGGTACATAGTTTAAAGCATATTCACATTTAGCCTCATGAAATAAAATTCTTACTTAAAAATGTAAAACAATACAATTTGGAAGCAATACTGTTTTCATCTTTTCTTTGACAAGAATGTCATCTAAAATATATCTATTTAAAGTTTGACTATTTCCCCGGGTCACCGACAAACTCTTCAAACAGTTTAAATATTTTGTAGGTATCTGATTGATGAGTTTGGGTCCTACACTGAACTTATTCCTTGTTGCCATTACAGATACTGGGAGAGATGGTTTACAAAGAGGAAAGAGGTTTTGTTTTGGGTTTTTCTCACATTTATAGGGATTCCAGTCCATGGTTGTCTGTCTCATTGTTTCTGGGCCCTGGTAAGGCAAAAATCTCATGGTGGAAGGGCATGGAGAGGCAGAGGCAATGACCAGGATGCAAAGAGAGAACATACTCATGCCAGAGGAGTTAACTTATTCTAGCAAGTCTCCCAGATGACCGGATGGTGTCCCCAGACTTCAGCCTGGGTTTACCCTTTATCTCCTTCTTTGGGAAGACCCTCATAGACACACCCAGAACTGTGTGCTTCACTACTCTCTTAAGTATTTCTCAATTGAGTCATGCTATATGGCAAGTCATAATTCAGCCTCTTATGAATGAACTGTCACATTATCCTTAGCCATCAGGGAAATGCAAAACAAAACTCTGAGATACCATCCTCCTGTCAGAATGGCTAAAATCAAAAACACCAATGACAGTTTATGCTGGAGGGGATGTGGAGAAAGGGGAACACTTCTCCACTGCTGGTGGGAGTGCCAACTCATACAGCCACTTTGGAAATCAGTATGGCAATTCCTCAGGAAAATGGTAATCAGTCTACTATAAGATCCAGCAATTCCACTGTTAGGCATGTATCCAAAAGATGCACATTTATATGAGGACATCTGTTCAAAGATGCTCATCGCAGCATTATTTGTAATCGCCAGAACTTTGATGCAACCTAGATGCCCCTCAACTGAAGAATGGATGGAGAAAATGTGGTACATTTACACAATGGAGTACTACTCAGCAGAAAAAAAAATGGAATCTTGAAATTCACAGGCAAATGGATGGAACTAGAAGAAACTATGCTGAGTGAGGTAACCCAGTCACAAAAATACAAACATGGCATGTACTCACTCATATGTGGATATTAGACATAGAGCAAAGGATTACCAGCCTACAATCCACACCTCCAGAGAAGCTAGGAAACAAGGAGGACCCTAAGAGAGACATACATGGTCCCTGGAGAAGGGGAAAGGGACAAGATCTCCTGAGCAAATTGGGAGCATGGCAGGAGGGAGGATGTCCAGAGATCTACAAGAATGACCCCAACTAGCAATCTAAGCAATAGTGGAGAGGCTACTTTAAATGCCTTCCCCTCATAATGAGATTGATGACTACCTTATATGCCATCCTAGAGCCTTCATCTAGCAGCTGATGAAAGTAGAAGCTGACACCCACAGCTAACCCCTGAACTGAACTGGAATCCAGTTGCAGAGAGGGAGAAGTGATGAGCAAATGGGTCAAGACCAGGCTGGTGAAACCCACAGAAACATCTGACCTGAACAACAGGGAGCTCATGGTCCCCAGACTGATAGCTGGGAAACCAGCATAGGACTGATCACATACCCCATGAATGTGGGTGTCAGTTAGGAGGCCTCAAAAATCTATAGGGCCTCTTGTAGTAGATCAGTACTTATCCCTAGCATAGGAATGGACTTTGGGAGCCCATTCCACACAGAGAAATACTCCCTCAGCCTTGACACATGGGGGAGGGCCTAGGCCCTCTCCCAAAGGATATGACAGACTCTGAAGGTCTCTCATGGAAGGCCTCACCCTCCCTGGGGAGCAGAAAGGGGACAGGATATGTAGGGTGTTAGTGGAGGGCAGGGGAGGAGGGGAGGGAGAGGGAATTGGGATTGACATGTAAAACAATCTTGTTTCTAATTTAAATTTAAAAATGGAAAAAATAAATAAAATAAACATTGTGCTGCCTCTTGCTGTCATCAAACAATTTTATTAATTTCAGCACTGATAATCCCCACCTGTAAATGAGAATATTCCACCAGTGCCCATGGATCAGTATATGCCACCACCATAAGAACAAGAAATGTTTTCAATTACGGGACATGCTAGCAAATGTGTCCTGATTTCCCTAGACATCCTCTAGTGTAGTTTTCAAAACTCTTAGCAAAAAAGACATTATAAAGTTTATGGATTTTTGTTTTTATAAAGAAAAAGATTAATGACATAGTAACTATGGGATTCTGGGTTTATGCTACTTCTTTTGTCATGTTTGCATGAATAAATTTCAGAATAAATTTTGAAAATAACACAGACTATTTTTCTCTCTTATATTTAGCAAGAACATTAAAAACTCTAGGACTAGGAATAGAACTCAACAGTAGAGTAGTGCTTGGTGTATGCAAGGCCCTGGGTTCAATCCTCATCAACAGCGCCTAAGATGACTACTATAAGTGCAGGTCTTGGAAAGAACTCCTCCATGCATCCCTAAATGTTCTAATCAAATTCGCCAGGCCAGACTAAGGCTGTAGTTAGATTATAGAACACTTGACTAACATGTGCAAAGCCTTGAGTTCAACCCTCATCCCCTGCCCCACACACACACACACACACACACACACACACACACACACACACACACACACAGGATTTAAAGGAGAAATGACCCATAGTGTATTTAAAAATCTTCCTTGAATTATTTAATATTAGATATCATTCTGATAGGGTTTAAAACTGTCCTTGACTTTCTACATAGGAGGGTGGGGAAGCTCATTGAAAAGAACCTGACTATAAAAATCATTGACTTGTGCCATTGAGACTGGCTTTCTTCGTGACAAGAGGAAAATGGTTTAATCTCATTTCCCAAGAAGAAAGTAATTATTAATTTACTGACCCACACTCCTGTGTTAAGTGTTCACTAATAACTATGGCCTACTTCTCTCAGACTGCCCTGTGTTTTAATAATTAACTCAGTGGTTACTAGCGTGCGCACAGAAGTTAAATGTGGGAAGAAAGATGCCAGGAGGAATTGAAAGTGAGTCCTTAGCAGAGGGATGACTGTCTAGTAGGTTCCACTGGGTAGGAGTTAACCACACCATTTGCTTAGATTGTGTCACCTGGTCCCTAGCCTGACACAGCTCAGATTAATCTATGGCTACCAGAGCAGCCATTTCTTCAGACATATGTAAATTAGAACGTTGTTTTCCTTTCACAGACGCCACTCATGTTGTTTCAGTGACCAAGATGATTACCTGCACTGGTTGAAGCTCTTGCTTCCCCACACAGTAACTGAAAGGCAGCTGTCTCCTTGAGGAATTATGGGAATGGATTGGAGTATTCCTCTGGAAAACCTGAGAAGGAACAAGTTCTAGTATTTTCAGTTTCCTAAGTTCAGATTCTTCATCCATTTCGTTGTTGATGCTCTCACATTTAGATATAAACACTTCAAACCTAGCAGTGATGTTGTAGCAAGTCAAGGACTTGTTCTCAAGTGAGGAGACATTCTGTCTCCTCCCATCATGGACTGATTTCAGGGGCTTATTTCAGAGCATAAACTTTTCTGCTTTCTCTACAAGTTCTCCGGAACACCTCACTGTATCCCCAGGCACTACCTATAAAAGTGCTTAGCATGTCAAGAAACAGTGTTGAAACATATT